TAGCCCCACTCCAAACAGGAGTGTCGAAACCTCTGTGTGAGCAGACAGCAGGGTCCCATCCATCAAGAGAGGCAGAACCCTCAGACTACAGGGAAATGACAGCTGGCTTCCCTGGAAGCCTTGTGTCCCCTCAGGAAAGCCTCCACTCTGAGCCCGGGCAAGAGAGGCTGAGTTTGAAGTTGTGGATCTTGGCAGCTGGCAGGGGACAGTGAGTCACCTCGGTGCCCAGCTCACCGGCACCCCGGGGTCCTGCGTGCTCTGCAGGTGGAGGGTGGTCTGGAAGCCGGCACTCCTCAGCCAAGGGCCCAGGGGGGTCCTGAATGGGGGACACCTACCCGGAGGACCTTGGCCGCAATCTCTGCCTCAGGAAAGCCAGCCTCCAGGGCTCCCAGGGGTTGCTGGTGCCCAAGAGCGCTTCAGGCAGGAACTGTGTCAACATTTGATCTGCAGGCTGCTGTTTGTGCACAGAAAGCACCCCGTTATCTCTACTTCTCCAGCGCCTCGGGCTCAACTTCCAATCACAATACCTAATACTAATACTGTTGATAACAGTAAGCACTTAATAAGCACTCACGAGGGTCAGGCACCGTGCTCGAAGCGCTTCACATGCATAACCTCATTCTCTCCTTAGGACAATCCTACGAAGTAGGTATTACTATGATCTTCAGTTCACAGAAGAAGAAACTAGCTAAACACACTGGTATCTGAGTGGAAAGAAGTTTTTATTTTGGATTTGGGGGAAGGGGGTCACGGGGAGATGTCAGGGACAAGAAAAAGCACCGGGAACAGAACCACTGTTTGGAATCTGCGCAATCCCGAAGGGGTACAGCAAGAAGTCTGGATCCCTCGGGAGACAGGCAGCAGGAAGGAAGAAAAAGCACATCTTGCATCTCCCCTCTCCTTTTCCACAACTGCATCGTCTTTGGGAAATCGCCACCTTTCTGCTTCCAGAGCAGAAGTCTGGGCTGCTCTCCCATCTCCTGAGCCCTGGCTGGGGAGCTGAGGAGGGGAGGGAAGGTACAGAAGCAGCTCAGATCTGTGAGCCAGCTGGTACAGCCTCCCTCCCGGGCTGCTGGTGCACCAAAGCCCCCTAGTGTCTGGCAGCCCAGAAACAACGAAGAGCAAAGAAGGCCTTAACAGCCAAGGTGACGGGGCTGCCCCCGATCCCAGGCGGGAGCAACCCTCCTTGGCCCTTTTGACATGAGCAGAGACCTCTCAGTTTGGGCTGCTGTCATCGCTGAGGTTCCTGCAAGGGGGACGAGGAGCAAGAGGGACAAGCTGAGCCCCGACACTCCCCCCTCCAGTCCTCGGAAGCCACAGGGGGTTGTGAAACGCTGAACCCCAGCAACCCCGGCTCCAGAGGGAAGGTGTCAGGAGTGGTTCCCGCCCATGAGGCAAGTTCTCTCGGGCTGGCCCCTCCGGCAGACAGGCTCTGGTCAGGCGGGTCTCGGTCTCCGTCTGCATCCCTGTCCTGTGCGCTAGCCTTGCACCACGGCGACTGCTCTTGGAGCTGAAGGGTCTGGGATGAATACACCTGCTCTTTCTTTCAGATGTTTGGAGAAAACTGCCACGTGGGTGGGGAAGATGGGGGAATCAGAGGAAGGAAAGCTCCCTAAGACGCCTAGTTAGCCAACATCCTCCCTAAACGGAGTGCCCAGAAATGGGCCCGAGCATCAAGGAGAAACTTCGTGTGGCAGCAAGAGGGCTTTGGGATCAGACAGGCCAGTGTGTGAATGCGATCTCCCACTCACCAGAGGACTGGGCAAATATACCAACATCTCTAAGCCCCCATTTGTCCACCTCCACAGGGATGTCGTGAGGACTACATGTGAGGACGCAGGTAAAGCGCCTGGCCCAGGCCGGACTCAGACTCAGAGTGAGCACTTAATAAACGTTATCAGCTATCATTACTGTCACTGTCTTCACTCTCCCCAACACCAGCTGCTGCAGTCCTTTCTACAAGGCAAATGGGAACCCTCCAGCACTGGCCCCACTATGGATTGAATGCTTGGGTCCCCCACCAAAATTCATGTGTTGAAACCTTAACCTCCAAGGTGATGGTGTGAGGAGATGGGGCCTTTGTGAGGTGATTAGGTCATGAGGCTGGAGCCCTCATGATTGGGATTAGTGCCCTTATAAAACAGACCCCAGAGAACTAGTTCACCCCTTCCACCTCCCTTTCCACAATGTGAGAACACAGTGAAACAATAGCTGTCTATGAGGAAGCAGGTCTTCACCAAACACCAAATCTGTCAGCACCATAATCTTGAACTTCTCAGCCTCCAGAACCGTGACAAATAAATTTCTGTTGGTTATCAGCCACCGAGCCTATGGTATTTTGTTACAGCAACCCGAAGAGGCTAAGACAGGCCCCCATTAAAATCCTTAATACTCTCCAACACCTCCTCAAATCCAAGCTCTTTGTCAGAAGACCCTCCAGGACTGGGCCTGGTTCTTGTTCAGTCTCACCCCCTTCTGCCCATTCTACCTTTATGGGCTAACACAGAAGCCCCTGCATTAAACCTTCATCTGGGCCTTGCTCAAACTGTCTCCTCTGCCTGAAGCAGTGCTCCCCCGCCAGAAAGTACCCCTGGAACTCCTGTTCATCCTCCCAGATGGAGGTCTCTCCTCTGGGGAGCCATCCCTGTTCCCTTTAGATCTTGGTTCCCCATCATTTCGGGCTGAACCTCCCCTCACACTAGACCTCAGTTCACACAATTCCCTCTGCCTAGAACACCTTCCCCAGCCCCCACTCCCTTAGCATGACCTAGGGTTCCTTGGGGCCCAGCTCACACCTCACCAGAACCTTCCTTCAGCTCATGCAGCTTCCTCTTCGGTCAGGAACCTCCCACAAATGACAAAATTTAGCCCTTAGTCACATTTGACAATTTTGCTTTACTAGTGTTTTAGCAAGTGTTCATCTTGCCTTCCCAACCAGGCGGCAGGTGTTTCAGGGTCTCACTCAGCTGCTCCCTCCAAGCACGGCCCAACAGTACACTAACCCCCAGTCCAAAGGGACCAGACACCAAAAGCCACTCAGGAAAACCATTACCGAAAACTGAGCTCTTAGCCCCACCCCAGAACACTGCACTTGAATTTCTCCCCTTGTGAAAGAGGCAGAAACACACATACCCTCTCCCCACTCTTAACCTCCAAAATAAAACATTTCTCACCTAATCAATACAGGCCATCAGCCCCGGATGTTTCTCCACACCAGGCAATTCTCAGCCAGGTTACTCAAGTTCTTTCACTAAACATAATCCACCCTCAAACAACAACGAGCAGCTCCCATCTCCTTTCCTGGAAAGAACCCTCCCCCACTTCATTTCTTACCAACCTCCTAACACCATCTCTCCCAATCCCTGGTCCTCCCCGCAAGCCCCTTCCCCAGCCTTCTGGACGACTCTCCCAGCCTCACAGCCCTCCCCAACCTCTGCCTGTCTCTGCTGCCAGGCTCCATGAGGCCCCTCCTCATAGTTCCTCCTAACTCACTACAAACTCACCCGGCCTACTGCAGCTCTCCCCCCAGGCCGATGAGCAACACAACCCTCCTCAGTCCTCCGCGGCCTTCTCCCTCCCCCCGGGGCCTCAGGCCCCCTCCCCTCACCCTATTAAGTCCCCATGGCCCGGAGCTCCGTTCCCAACCTCTTTCAGCTCCTCTCTCATCACACCGTTTCTCCCTGCTCTGACCCCCCCATCCCCACTTCTCCCATCAGACCCCTACCTTGATCCCCACCAGCCCCGTACAGGCTCCACACCTGTTTCCTTCCCGGAAGTAACACTAATGGTAGCTAGCACTCTCAGAGTGATAACCACATCCCAGGCTCAATTCTAAGTACTTCACTTGCATTCTTATTCAATACTAGTAACAAACACCTGAGATAGATTTCACTAAGCCCCCCTGCAACAGGGAAATTAAACAGCTTACCCAAGGTCATGAAATGGCAGAGACCACTTCAAACCAGGGCTTTTGACACTCGTAAGTCACTAAAATTCCTCAAAGGATGGCCAGCCAAACAACTTTTACGAGCCAACATGAACTTTATGTGAAATGTCTGCCACACTGCAGGTGTTGGTTCTGTCTCCCAGACCCTTTCAACGGTATCCTGGGCACGCCACTCTCATCCTACTCACAATGCCCACCCAATGCTTACTCAAGGATCACACAGCAGGCCTTCGGCCCCTTTTGGTTTTCTCATCTCCCTCATCTCTCCCTTTTATCCCTCCAGTTCCTAAATCAAGCCTCACCCCATCTTAGTCTCCAGCCTCCCAGTCCAGGCTTCTTCAGAAGCCGTAACTCCATCACCCCAGGGATTCCTCTGCTCAGATCTCAATTTGTCAGGTCCCCTTACATTACTCAGCCGTGACCAAGGCAATACCCACCCCTGACACCTCACACATCTCAGACTTGGGCTCATCATCCCAGGATCACCTTAGCCCTGAGCCCTGGGCCTGCGTTCACACAAATCCAGCGCCCCAGGCCTTGGAAAGGTGAAGCCCTCGGGCAGGGGTCCTCAGTCCCAGGGACCCAAGACGCCCGTCTGGGATCCTTCAAATAGGTTCTCCTAGAGCTCCAAAAGGCTTCTTGACCTGGTTGCCCTCCCAGGTTCCCTCAGTCCCCGCAGGCCAGGTCCCCTTCAAGGCCTGAGACCACACTCCCTCGGCCCAGGCTCTCCTCCAGCCCCTTGGCCCATCTTCAGCCTGGGTCCCCTTCCTGCCTCCAGATGGTGTCGCCTCGGCCTGGGTGTCCTCAGCCCAGGGCCCTTCTACCATCTCGGACAGACTCTCCTCAAACTATTCTGCCAATGCCACAACCCGCGCACCCTGGCCCTCGGCCGGTGTCACCTCTGCTGCCTTAGACCATGTCACGTAATCCCGCAAGCCGCCCCCCCACCCCCGCCCTCTAGGCTCGAGCCCTTCGTCTCTATCGCCGCCCCAATCTATGACTCCTCTGTCCTCTCAGTCTAGGTCCCGGCCGGACCCCTCGGCGCGGTTCTTACCCAAAGAGGCCCGAGAAGAAGGACTGTGAGTTCTTCACTTTGCGCTCCGCCTCGGCCAGCAGCGCCATCGCCTCCGCTTCCTTCCCGGAGTTGTCCATGGCGGCCGCAAAGGTACTCATCAAACCGCCCGACCCGGGCCCTCGGAGGACTCAGCTGCAGCCGGGCGGCGGTACACAGGTCAGGAGAGCTTAGTGGTCTGCGTTGACGTCGCACCGGCGCGCGCCTCAATGCGGCCCAGAACCACGTGATTCGCACTGGCCAACCAGCGGCGTCGTAGCGCGGCGCCCGCCCCGTCGGCCACGCCCCCGCCAGCCGCCGCACGCCGCCCCGTGACTCACGGCCTCCAATTGGCGACCCGATGCTTTAACGCATGCGTATGCATCCGCGTACGGCACCCTACTCTCTTCCTGATGCTACCGGGACAGACCACGTGACTCCGCGTAAGCCAATCGTAGTCCTCACCGCCAAGGACCCGCCTTGAGGTGCTACCTTTCTGGATCCTCCTCCACCAATCAACATCAGCCCTTGGCTCCGTCTGCACTTCCCGGCGGAATTTGGACCGTAGTCAGCTGACCATTGATCCTCACGTGACAGCTCCGTGCCGGAAGACACGGCCAATCCACGCCTGGGTTTGACAGTTCCCTTAAGCAGAGTTTAGTCCCCGCCTTCGCTCTTTACCTCCTGACGTTCTCCTTCACTTGGAAAGGCGTAAGTAGTAAGACGGAAAGTGGTATCCCTTTTCCTGCGCCCTCTGTCGACCTACGCTGAAATTGGTTTGGGAAAGCCAGTGAAGTAGGCGAACATCATTTTATCGTGCTTTGCTTTCTTGCCTTTCGCAGAAATTACGGTTTTTACAAATTGAAGGTTTGTGGCAACCTTGTGTTGAGCAAGTCTGTCCAAGCTGCGCCATTTCCCAAACAGCGTCGGCTCACTTAATGTCTCACTGTCACGTTTTGGTAATTCTTGCAATACTTTAAAGTTTTTTATTACAATATTTGTTAGGGTGACCTGTGATCGGTGATCTTTGATGTTACTGTTACGACTGGCTAAAGGCTCAGATGATGGTTAGCATTTTTTAGCAGTTTTTTTAATAATTTCATTTTTGATTTTTTTCTTTGACCCATGAGTTATTTAGAAGAGTGTTATTTAGTTTCCAAATACTTGGAGACTTTTTTCTCTTATTTCTTTTATTTATTTATCTTTGGCTGCATTGCGTCTTCATTGCTTCGCGGGCTTTCTCTAGTTGTGGCGAGTGGGGTCTACTCTTTGTTGCGGTGCGTGGGCTTCTCATTGCAGTGGCTTCTCTTATTGCGGAGCATGGGCTCTAGGCTCGCGGGCTTCAGTACTTGTGGCACGCAGGCTCAGTACTTGTGGCTTGCGGGCTCTAGAGCGCAGGCTCAGTAGTTGGGGCGCATGAGCTTAGTTGCTCCGCGGCATGTGGGAGCTTCCTGGACCAGGGCTCGAACCTGTGTCCCCTGCGTTGACAGGCGGATTCTTAATCACTGCGCCACCAGGGAAGTCTGCAATAAAGTATTATTAAATCAAGATATGTATTTTTTTTTTTTACACATAATGCTACTCCACACTGAATAGCCTATAGTATAGTGTAAACATAACTTATGTGCACTGGGAAAGAAACAAACAAAACTCCTATGACTGGCCTTATTGTGGTGATCTGGAACCGGACCTGCAGTACCTCTGAGGTATGCTGATACTTGAGCGACAGGAGTCAAAACTGAGAGCAGAGGTTCTCTAACTCTGGTTTCAATAATAGCTGGTGAGACTGTGTTAAAAATTCAGGTTCAAACACACCTAGTGCCCAGATCTTAGTTTTTAATACTGTTCTCCAATAAAAGTAACCAGGGCTCCTTGGATAAATGGCTGGTTCTAGGACTGGGCAGGAAATTATACAGGATGTGCTTAGAGCATCTTGTAGTTCCAGAACAGAAGTCTCTCAGCCTCCATCTCACTGTCTCTCTCTCTCTCTCTGTCTCTCTCTCTCTCTCTCACACACACACACACACACACAAATGGGGTATGTCAAAGAGACACAAGAGCCAACTGAAAGAGCTCCCAATAGTCAAAGCTGGAACAATTTGAGCAACAAAGTAGCACTGGATAATAACGCAGTCTATAAAATCTCCATGAGCCCATGCTGATATAAATGAGTGACTGAACAAACAGATAAATGGCTGTGCATAATTCCAAATAATTTATGTGGCTATTCTGCCCTCAAGAAGTTGAAGCATGACTCTTCACACCTTACGCATGAACTGTGCACAGTGACTTCCTTCCACAGATGAGAGTATTGTGGGCGGGGACTAAGTTTACAGTGTAGAAACATGACAAACATTGTCAGCCAGGTGATGGAGGTTAACATCAACAATGACAAGTCACACTGATACTGTGTACCCTTAATAACATGTGATGACAGTGGCACTTCACTTCTGCGGTCTTCCTCACTCTCTGATCATTAGAAACATAAGACAAACCCCAGTTGAGACACATTCTCCAAAATACCTGACCATGACTTCTCATAACTGTCATCAAAAACAAGGAAAGTCTGAGAAACTGTCACAGCCATGAGGAGCCTGAGGAGATGTGACAACTAAATGTAGTGTGGTGTCCTGGGAGGATCCTGGCACAGAAGAGGGACATGAGGTAAAAACTAATGAAATCTGAATGAAGGATGGACTTTAGTTAATAATAATATAGCAATATTGGTTCATTAATTGTAACAAATGTACCATACTAATGTAAGATAATAATAGGGGAAACTGAGTGTGGGGTATATGGAAATTCTCTATACCATCTTCCCAACTTTTATGCATATCTATAAACTATTCTTCTAAGAAAGTTTCTTTAAAAAATTTAAGTTCCAGGGCCCTACCTCCAATGATTCAGATTAGGAAAGTCTGTGGTGGGGTACAGGAATTTGCATTTTTTACAGGACCCCTAGATGATTACGATGCAGATAATTTGCGGTTGAGAAAACACTGTTTTCTGGGGGTGGAGTTTGGCTGGGGGGAGGTAATTCACAAGAAACCTTTGCCCAACTCTCTTATGTTCAGAGATTCTTCTGGACCACCCACTTGTGGTTGCCACTGTATTCTGACCGCAGATTAGATGGGGGTGAGTTTGGATAACCATGAACAGTTTGGGTTCCCTGCCCCTCTAAGCAGCACTATTGTAAAAGTTTCCATTTGTTTAAAGCTGTTAAGTTTCAGCTTAATTTGTCACGCAGCAATAGATAACTAATATACCACCCGACCATGAAGCCAGAGACTTTCATTTCCAGTGTCATCGGGCTTCACTTGTTATGGAGGGCGGGACCCACACGGTGACAGCAACAGCATGAGTGCTTGTTAAGTGGCTCAACAGCATGAGTGCTCAGGTCATATGGGGCACCTGCCAATATCCGATTTACGTTTTTCTCATCAACAGATATATGGGGGGCTTCCCTGGTGGTGCAGTGGTTGAGAATCTGCCTGCCAATGCAGGGTACACGGGTTCGAGCCCTGGTCTGGGAAGACCCCACATGCCACGGAGCAACTGGGCCCGTGAGCCACAACTACTGAGCCTGCGCATCTGGAGCTTGTGCTCCGCAACGAGAGGCCGCGACAGTGAGAGGCCCGCGCACCGCGATGAAGAGTGGCCCCCGCTCGCCGCAACTAGAGAAAGCCCTCGCACAGAAACGAAGACCCAACACAGCAAAAATTTAAAAAAATAAAAAAAGTCAAAGGCATTAAAAAAACAAAACAAAACAGATATATGGAGGTAGGCGTTTTCCATCCCAGTTACAGGATGAGAAAACTGAGACTCAAACAGGGAAAATGACTTGCCCAAGGTGGCAAAGAAGGAAGAAGAGCCAGGCTGTAAGTTCTGGTTCGTCTGATGCCAGAGTCCTTTCCCCAGCCACAATGCCCGCACCACTTCAAACTCAACTTCCTCCTCTGCTCCTCCCTCCCCGTCTTTTCAGATTTACTGAGCTGAAAGCTGGCCCTTCTGTGAAGCCTCCTGACACCACCGTTTACCCTGCTCCCCAGCCAGTCCCTCCGAAGGCAGCACACAGTTATAGACAGAGTCACGCCTTTAAGCCATCAATCCTCTGATGTGTTCCTCTTCCTCATCTCAGTTAACAGCATCTACTCAGTTGCTCAAACCCCAACCTGCCATGCCAACCTTGATCCGTCCTTTTCCTTACCAGCTCTCCCTGTGACGTGTGACCCATCAGCAAGTCTGAATCTACTTCTAATGTGATCCCTAATCCTTGCGCTTCTGGCCTCTTCACTGCTACTCCAGCCCAGGCCACCGTCTCCGCTGAGAGCCTTCCAGCTACTCTCCAGGCTTCCCATCTTGCCGCCCACAGCCCCCACACAGCAGCTAGAGCTTTGAACAGCCTCCCCTGGTTCCCGTGGCAGAGTCTGCGCTTTGCCACACCGTGGCCTGGAAGTGGGTCTCAGCCTCAGCAGCCTCCTCAGTGTGGCTTCCCAGCCCCGTGCCATCCACCTACCAGCGTCTGCCACTCCCTGTCACTCCCTCGAACTTGGCCCCCTGCTGTACCTTCCTCATGTCGCTTTGTGGTGGACACAAGGTCTGACTCCCCAGTGGCTATTTCTGCTTCCTCTTCTTTTCCTGGCAAACAGGATTCCAGTTTTGATCGGGTGACAACAAATTTGAGGGAACACACTGGTTCTCCCCAGTCCTGGCACTGGGGAGAACGAGGGGGGAACACAACTTGTGCTTTTGTCGTGGAGACAAATCTTGAAGGTCCGGGATAACGGTGGCCACTTCCCTTTCCACTGCCAGGGATCAGTTTAGAAAGAGCACGGGCTACAGTTCTGGCCGAGGAGACGTGAGGGGCGTTCTGTTGGGCGCTGCTGCAAGCTTTCCTCACTCTTAAAAAGGGGAGCAAAGAAGGGAGGGAGCTGCTCTCTGCCCTGCACCCTCTGAAGGTTTGGGTGCTCGGCGGCGTAGAAGAGGGGATTCTTGCTGCTGCTGCAGCCGACTTGCTGACGCTGGCCACTGCTGGCAGGCCTTGACTTCACCGTGGAGCCACTGGCACCACCACGTGTCCTGAGAGCTTAAACCTACGCTGACTCCTCTCTTATTACGGCCAAAAGCATACACACTATAGATATCTAAACTCGCCTTTTTGCTGATTTATCACTGCTACCTTCCCGCTCCTAAAATGTAAGCTCTGTGAGGGGAGGGGCCTTGTCCCTCCATCACTACGTCCCCATCACGCGGACTGCTACAGTAGGTGCTTGATAAATGCTGGCTGCATTCATGTATGAGGCTCCTCCAGGGCAGGAACTCAGTTTACCCGTCACTGTGGCTTCTGGGAGGGGCAGGGGCTCAAAAGCCTTCACTGGATCAACAGGCAGGGAAGCCATAAGACAGCTGCT